ACCCCCAAACCCTTTTCGAATTATTGAGGCCCTTATTTTGGAACCAAGAGTCTCCGAAGACCAGCCTCTAGGGCTGAGGAAAGTTCCAAACCCCGAACCTTCAAGCGAAGTAGTTCCAGGGCTAAGCTTAGGGTTCAGGGAGTTTAGTGTGGTAGGAGTTTAGGGTTATAAGGGTTTAGGGCTTCGGGCTGTAAGGGTTTAGGGTTACAGGTGTTTAGGCTTACTTGGGTGTTTAGATTCCTAATTTTTTTGTAGGCTTAGGAGGCCCGTCACTTCCAAGCCCAGTGTAGCATCTTCACATCCTGACCACAGCGGGCCGAACTTGAGACCTCAAGGTTTCGGGCATGGGCAGTCCCATACATTGCCAATTCCCTGACCCCATAAACGCTAAGTTCCAATTTCTATCTCAGCACCTCAAGCCTATACCCGAAAACCCTAAACCCTAAACCCCAAAGCGTAGCCTTACACTCCAAGTCTAAGCCACTGACTTCCGACTCTCTCAGCCTCTAAAGCCCAATTGACTCATCGCTCCCTCGCGAAGCTTAGGCCTGAACATACCAAGCCATCCTGAACCCCCAAACCCCATGTGGGTAGTTCTCTAAACTAGGGTTCCTTTTGGGATCCTTTTTATAGGGGTGCCGTACTATATTGGGGACTGAGAAAGGGACCCTATCTTTTAAAACTACTCATATCGCTAAAGCCCTGTTGCAAAGCAGGCCCTAAAACCCTAAACCCTAAACCCAAAAACCCTAAACCCTCAGCCCTAAAACCCTAAACCCTTTCTCCTAAACCCTAAAACCCGAAGCCCGAAAACCTACCAAGGCTTGCATGACTTCGCCACTCTCTGGGGTCCCCCGAAGAAGGTCTGGTGCTGTAAGTCCTGGGCTGAGCTGCAGTTCTCGAGCTCCTGGCTTGGTATCTCTTTAAGGGGTCAAGTTTAGGGTTTAGGGTTTAGGGGTTTAGGGTTTAGGGTTTAGGGTTTAGGGTTTAGGAGTTTGGGGTTTAGGGTTTAGGGTTTATAGGGGTTAGGGGTTTAGGGTTTGTAGTTTAGGGTTTAGGGTTTAGGCATTAGAGTTCTAAGTTCCTATTTGGGCTTCCATGCCGGATCTGTATTTGAGTCATAAGTTTCTACAAGGTTCCTACAAAGGACCTATGTGAGAGTTATAAGTTTGTATAAAGGGGTTCCATAAGGGAGCTATGTTCGAGCTTCAAGTCTCTATGGTTTAGGGTTTAGGGTTTAGGGTTTACGGTTTAGGGTTTAGGGTTTAGGACAAGTTTGGAGTTGTAAGTGTCCATAACGGGTTCTATAAGGGATCTATATTAGAGCTTTAAGTTTCCGTGGGGTTTCTATAAGGGCTCTAGATGCGAGGTATAAGTTTGTACAGGGTTTCCGTGAGGGGTCTATGTTTTAGTTGTAGGGGTTGAGGTTTCTGGGGGTAGGGCCTAAGGTTTAGAGCTTTGAGTTGAGGGTTTAGGTTTCAGGGTTGGGGTTTTGGGGGTTCGGATAGTTCAAGGCTTTGTTTGGGAGATGTTTCAGTTTTAAGGCTACACCTGTCCAGGAATCGAGTTATTGGGCCCGGGGGGTTGCAGTGATTTTTCGAGGCTCCATGTCATCTATGGACTACAGTTTACTGCTCGCCTTGTGGAGTGCGGGATACTTGTGGTCAAAGTCCGCTACCACAGGTTCGCAGACAGTGGGTTCAAGCTGGCTAAGCCGTGAGCGACCCATTTGCAGAGTGCTTCTTGACCCAGGCATGAGGGGAAAGGCTGCATCGCTGGCTTCCAGTGGTTCGATGCCTGTCAGCACTTTTGAAGGTTGGGGGTTCGGAACTAGGGCGGCTTCGGTGCCAGTTTGTTTCGTAAACTTAGTTGTCCAGTGTTAGGGTTTGAAGTTGGGTTCGTGGTTGCATGGGTGTGGGTTCTTGTAAACCGATCTGCGAAGGAGGGCTGTCCAGAATTGCAAGGTAGATATGTATGCATATATGCATAGATAGGTAGGTGTGTAGACAGATAGGCACAATATACATGATAGACAGACAGACAGACAGACAGACAGACAGATGGATGGATAGATAGACAGATAGATCATTCAGGCCCCGTTTACTAGTCGCGTTTCTTGCTATCACTTCTGCTTCTGCTAGAAGTACCATCCGTGATGAAGATCATAGCATCTCCTGCTACTTCTTGTCCTAGTTGTAACATGACAGCATGGATCACCTCTTCGGACTCAGGATGTTTCTTTTTTGAGGTTCAGGCTTTGCAGGCCCATGCTTTGGGCCTCTGTGGCTCTTCTCAGAGAGTCTGAGGGGCTGAAATCGATGACTGCAGTCTACCGAAGCAGCGAGACAGGCCATCAAAAACCATCCAAACCCGTCCAGCCTGCCAGCCAAACATGGGTAGTTGTCAAAATTATGGTTTTTTTTGGGGTACCCTAAAGAATAGGTGCCGTATTATAATAAGGACCCAAAAAGGGACCATAATTTTTGACAACTACCCACATAATCGTAGATAGCATGATTCCCAAGCTTCCAGCCTCGGCTTGCCCACCCAAATCCTCTGCTCTAAGTTACTCTAGACCACAAACCCCGAGTCATAAGCTAAGAATCCTTTCAAACCCAGGATTGCACGGAGAAGGCCGAAAATTGGGCAGGGAAGCTCAGTTGTGTCTGCCCTGGGCTTCTGAACCTTCTCGCGCTTCGGAGTTACAGGGTTTAGGGTTTAGGGTTTCGGGTTTAGGGTTTAGGGTTTAGGATTTAGCGTTCAGGTTTTCGTAACGCGATTGGGGGAACTGGACGCAGGCCTCGGTTCTCCACTGTTCGGAGGCTCCATCAAAAACGGATCCTCGGGCGCACGAATCACAGTTCATAGGGAGTATTAGCTGAGAGTTCAGAGTTTCATGATCTGGACCTTATGAATACCTGAACCCCCCGGCCACCTAAAGCTATTCGAGCTCTCCGCTTAACAGCCCAAGCCGTACTGCTCAGCCTGGCTTTATTGATGGTGCCACCCTTGCTTTCCTTGCTTGTGATCATACTGCTAAGCATTTCGTACTACAGCTTTGCAAGTATATTTTTATTCTTCAGTCTTATCATTCTGTACTATTCTATACACACTTGCATATCGGCTCGAAGCGTAACCCTGCCTGTGGCTTGCTAGCTGTCTGCCATATAGCAGCATACCGCTTCGCTGCATACTGTGTTCTTCTGCACAAAGCCAAACATATACACACACACACACATACGCGCACACACTCACACACACACACACATTCACACACACACACACACATCATACGCACCTACATACATGCATGCATACATACACACATACATACATATACACACACGCACACATACATACATACATACATACATACATACATACATACATACATACATACATATGCACACACATATGTACATACATACATTCGTACACACACACATATATATATATATGTATATGTATATATATATACACATATATGTATACCGCAAGAAGAAGTCTCGGGTTGCTGACATGTACATACATATATACAGACCTATCTACATATTGACACACACATATATATATGTATATATATATATATACACATATTTGCATCAATGTTTGCATCATGGACCCTACAGGAGCGAGACTGGACTGCAGAGAAGAAGGGCTGGTGCTGCTCGCTCGGGGCCCATGGGTGAGGCCTCTGGAGTGCGGAAACAACTCGGATTCCAATATGGCTCTTTTTCAGGGTTTAGGGTTTAGGGTTTAGGGGTTTAGGGTTTAGGGGCGAGGATTTAGGGCTTTCCGAAAATAGGGGACCCTAATATAGTACCCTAAATTTTCGGATCCTTAATACAAGGACCCCAAAATAAGGTACCCCTAATTTTCGGAAACTCCCGTATGGCTTCCTTTCAGGGTTCCTACAAGGGTTCTTTTCAGGGCTCTAGATGGGTACTAGGTATCTGGGGTTTTGAGTTGAGGGTTTGGGGTTTTAGAGTTTGGGGGTTAGGGTGTAAGGGTTAGGGCTTTGGGTTTAAAGTTCAAGGTTTTTGGGGTCTAGGGTATTTTGGTGCGCGTTTCAGACTTTCGGCAGCTGCAGTGCATGTTCGCTGAGCTTTCACTGTAGGCCCCGGACCCAAACCCAAGCTGGGCAAACCCTAAACTCAGGGAGATTCATGAGACCATGATGGCTTTAGGGTCTGGCGTTTGTAGGGGGTTAGAGCTGATGGCTTGTGGTCTGGGGTTGGGGTGAATGGGGTGGGAGGCATATGGTGTAAGGTATGGTTCTGTGGAAATAGCCTTCCTGCAATATTCCTTCGGCGCCAAGAGCCCGCAGCCCTGTAAGCCCAACCACAAAACCCCCAATAGGAATCCTTGAGCCCTTCAAAAGAACCCTTGTAGGAACCCTGAAAGGAAGCCATACGGGAGTTTCCGAAAATTAGGGGTACCTTATTTTGGGGTCCTTGTATTAAGGATCCGAAAATTTAGGGTACTATATTAGGGTCCCCAAGGAATCCTTGAAAGGAGCCCATGTGAAGCCCAGGCACAAGAAGATGGGATGCCCCGGCTGGCACTGGCACCCAGGCTTCGGACGTGGCCATTTTAGGTTTAGGGTCCAGCCGACATCTCATCTCCGGACCCTCGGCTTAGGGACCAAGTTTGAGGGTTTAGGGTTTAGGGTTCAGGGTTTAGGGTTTAGGGTTTAGGGTTAAGGGTTTAGGGTTTAGGGTTTAGGGTTTAGGGTTGCAGGTGTTTAGGGCTGGGTCTTAGGGTTCAGACTTTAACGAACGGGGCCTGCACTCACTCATTGCCCTTATGTCGTGGGTTCAGGCTTTCGCCCTGAAGCCCTAGAGCCCTAAGCTCTCAACGCTAAACCCTAGAACCTCTGAGCCCGAATCCTAACCTCTACCCCCTACACCCTAAAACCCCTCAGCCCAAAAATCTTCCTAAACCGCAGCAGAACGTTTCGATGGCATGGCACGTGTTTTTTGCACATGGGGGGATAGCTGCGCCTACTTCTGGCCGCTTGTTGCTTCTTTTGTCTTTGGGTTGGCCGGGGAGGGGGGGAGGCGGGGGGTAATGACGACATCGTTGCATGTGCTAGTCTTCATGGTGATGATGATTTTTGTTTTATGATGTCGGGTTTATATAAGGGGTTTATGGTCTGGAGCTTCGGTTTTACTTAAACCCTACTACGGAATTCAACCATGATAGCAGTTGGCACTGAACCAGCAACCCGTTCTGGGGTTTCAGGTAAAGGGATTGCCAAGATCAACAACCGCAATCGCGACGATAAAATCATAAACACAGTATTCACAACAGCAGTAACACCACAAAACACCAAACCCTAAATCCCATACTCGAGACCCTAGAACCACCCTAACCCCTCAACCCTAAACGAAACCCTATAAGTTAAACTCCGAAGCATGGGAGGTGGCGCGACCCACGTGAGCCACACCACCTACACTACGCACCACCATTCCGTGGGGGGTCGTTGGGCCGGCGCCCCACCTCTCTAGCGGAGTTCTTTAGGTCTAAGGGTTTAGGGTTTAGGGTATAGTATAGGTGTCTGAATAACTCGGAATACTCCTTAAGGCTTGGCTACAACTATGTATGCTGTAGTATGCACCAACACCTTATTGGAATGATTGGGGTCTCTATTTTATATAAGCCGTAAACCCTAGACCCTAGACCCTAAACGTTGAACCCTAAACACGAGACCTTAAACCTACCAGACTAAACCCTAAGGCGCTGTCGCAGAGAAGGTCTATGGTTTGCAGTGGCCTGGGGCGTAGCGGCTTTTTAGGCGGTTGAAGCATAGGATCTCGGATGTCAAGGCTTTAGAGTTCGGGCTCCCAGAAGTCTCCTGTTGTAGCTGAAAGCCCTAAACCCCAGATTCTGGGGTAAGGCTGCTTCGGTTCCGCAGCTTGAGCTGAAGGGATTCAGGGTTGATAGGCTGTTGACTCTGAAGCCTCAACCCTAAAGCCTAAAACCCTAAAAGCCTAAAGCTTAAAGCCTAAGCCGCCTAAGCCGCGAACCTTAAGCCCTTGCGCTCTTCTAGAGCTGTCATAACCCTAAACCCTACACCCTAAACCCTAAACCCTAAACCCTAAACCCTAAACCCTAAAACCCTAAACCCTAAACCCTAAACCCTAAACCCCGGGGGCCTTTTTTGGGGCTTCGGGAGTCCTCGTCCGACAGGTCTTGATACTGCGGAGCTTGATTTCCAGTACCATTCCTGAGGGTCCCTGTTTGAATCATCGTATAGGGTTTTGGTTTAGGGTTTAGGGCTTAGGGTTTGGGGTTTGGGGTTTAGGGTTTAGGGTTTAGGGTTTAGGATTGAACCCTCAACCCGCAAAACCCTAAACCCTAAAGCCCCCAGCTCTTCCCCGAAGGTCCCTATGCAGCTCACAAAGAGCCCCAAGGTTTCAGGCCAGGCGTATGCAGATGCCGTGATTATGGATGGAGAAAACGGGGCCATAATAGCCAGAATACGGTTTGGGAATCTATTAACCTATAGTTCCTAGCAGCTATATGGTGTGTATATATATATATATAGTGTATGTGCATATATATATATATACATAATACACATAGCTATATGATTTTACGTATATATGTATAGATACATATATATATATATATACACATCTATGTATATACGTAAGTATATAGATGTTGCCCTTTGCCCAGGTTGTCGGCTGGCATGATGGTGCTGTCCACCACGTGCACCATGTGATCCACAAGAGCAAGTCGGATCCTTAGGGTTCTTTTTAACGGGTTTCTTTATGGTTTCCTTTG